TAAGTTGGTGGGAATGAAACAAATTATTTAACCTTTGGTGGGTGGGGGTGGGGTGTATGAGACGAATTACGACATTTTTTTTGGGGGGGGGGGCACGAAACAAAAATTGAGTGGAATACTAGTCTATGATTATTAAGACTACAGGCTTTTATAATACAATATAGTATATCGAGTATATGTTTAAATGTTCCTAGCCGTAAATTGCAATGTAGCACAATAGTATTTATGAAAGTGTCCCGATCAGAACCTATTAATTTGAGGTGTCTGCAACCTGAACAGTCTTGGACTACGTTATTTTATTGTCGGGTGGCTTCCCTGCTCGTTTACATATAGAGTATTTAAATATTGAGAAAGATATGAAACACGTCAAGACGTTCTGTTGATATAATTAACCAAAGTCTAAAAATATGTGAGATCAGACTCTATTTTAGAAATATAGCCTGACACAAACCTTAATCCGATCGTTTTCCACCCACAGCAAAGTTTATATTTAGTATCCAATTAAAATGTCGCAGAAATTTGCAACTAATTAACTGCCAGAGCAAATAATTTCGTGAGTAATTTGTTTGTTTCACAATTTTTAAATTAATTAACGAATTGGTACCGTGATTTCATTGGGCGTTTTTGTATAAAAATTGGTATTAAGATTTTGAGTAATGTTTTCCCTTTTTTCCAGATCTGAGCCAGATTTTCTCCAAGGGCATATAAATAGAATTAATAATAAACTATAATAATTATAATTTATAATAATAATTTAATAAAATACCGATTTGTAACCTTTAGGTTAAATTACATCAGTAAAACGTCTCATTATACTACAATATAAATATCTAAATGCATAAAATTATTCATAACTTCAGTTGAAAAAGTTATAGAGTTCAAATTTAGAAATATTAAAATTATGGTCTATTCATATGTGAAACCATCTGTGGAAAAAACGATTTCATAAATCTGTCCGTTTTACAACTATAGTTATTATAATCGCTTCCATAACGTGTATTATAGTTATGTTCAAGTTTAGGCGGTAAGAGGTCAACCAATTTGTCTCCATGTGCATTTTTAACAAAAAAACGTTAGCATAATAATCGCCGACGATCTTTCAGTAAGGGTATACCAGTAATACTGCAAGCTTCTCTGTAAGTAGCGAATGGCAAGACAATACGCAGAGCCCGCTTCTGGAGTTTTTCGATATCTTCACTTAGGTATTCTGTAATATTGAAGTGCCAAACTTGGCAGGCATATTCGAGTGCTGGTCTGATAATGGTGCAGTATACTAAAATTAGAATGCTATTGTCGGCATTTGATCGTTTTAACAACCTTAGCATATAAAGGCGTTTTCCCGCTTTTCTAACAATATGGTTCACATGCTCGTTCCATTTCAAATCATCTTGAATTGAAAGACCAAGAATTCGGGCAGATTTTACCCGCTCAATACCAACGTTATTTATAGTTAACGGTAAGAACTCATGTTTTTCTCTTCCAAAGTCAATTACCATTTCCTTACATTTACCGATGTTGAGCTTCATATTATTAACTTCACACCAATTATAGATAACATTCACTAGATTTTGTAGTTCACTACTCTCAGTTGATGTAACTCGTTCAGCAAGCGTACTGTCATCAACATACTTCCATCTATCGCTCCAATCAATAAGAAGATCATTTATCATAACAAGGAACAAAGCCGGCCCTAACGCCGATCCTTGCGGCACTCCACCGTTTAACGTTTGCCAGTCCGAATGACAGTTAGCCAACTTGACTCGTTGTTTACGATCAGAGAGAAAACTTCTAATCCAATTTATAATGGTTTGGGAAACACTCATTTGTTGTAGCTTATTCACCAGTATGTTGTGATCTATTCGATCAAAAGCTTTTTCAAAATCAAGCAAGAATACTCTCGCCGCATTGCTTGAAACATCTGTAGCACTCAGGGGGTGACGGGTCAGGCTCAGTAGGGCATGTGTAGCCGAGGAATTTTTAACGGAGCCAAACTGCCGCGTATCAATCTTTGCACCAACTGACTTAAGTAACCAGTCTGTAACAAACCGTTCGCAAATTTTGGATCAAGTGGTGGTAAGTGAGATAGGGCGCAAATCTTTAGAAATGTCTTTAGGGACTGATTTTTTTGGAACAGGGATAACGTTCTCTTTTTCCACATTAAGGATACAACTGCTTCTTGAATCGAAGCGTTGAAAGTCGATGCCACAGGGGAAGAAAAAACATATGCATAAGATTTAAGCACCCAATTAGGTATTCCGTCAGGACCAGGTGACTTGGAAACGGGGATGGCGGACAATTTACTGTATACATCTTTTTCTTCGATAATAAACTGTGGAAGGATACTTGTACTGCCATTTTCAATTAGGTCATCAACTGGAGACTTATTCAAGGGAGGAATATCTTGGGTAGATGAGACAAAAACATCATTGATTTTATCTGCTAACTCTTTACCAGCAAAAACCTGGTTGTTTACAACGAAATTAGAGAATATTTTGTTCTTGGCGAAACCCGCAAGCTGTTTTGTACATTGCCACCATTTTTTAGCATTGGGGTTTAGTTTTAACTCATCCATCTTTTTCTTAAGGAAGGTTGACTTGAGTCTCTTACTTTCTCTATTGGCAAGATTTCTCAATCTACGATATAGCAAACTTTTGCCCTGACGGAACGCTCTTTGTCTATTTTCTATAATTTTCCTAAATTCGACTGTAACCCAGGGTTTATCATAATCGTGCAACTTTACAATTTTACTAGGGAAAAACAGTCCAAACCAGTATTTATAACTGTTTGAAAAAAATCTAACTTTTGTTCACATCATTCAGCGCGGTACAAGTTGTTCCAGTTTATATCAGCTAGCCACTTACCGAATACTCTCCTGTCATAATTGCTACCTTGTCTAGTTTTCACTTTCGAGGTACCATATTTAGCTGTAATTTTATGAAAGGACCACAGTACGGAGTTATGGTCACTTTGGCCAACAAGGGGTAATAACACCGGAAAGTTACAACAGGAAGACATATTTGTCAAAATTAAGTCCAATGTGGAACTTCCTCCTGTGTGTTCTTTAAATATCTGTTTCAAAGTAAAATGACGTAGTAAGGAGGAAATTGGGATTTTTTAAGTCTCCAATGAAAAAAATACCAGCGTTGGGGTACAATACAAGAGCAGCGTCAAGTTAGATGTTAGGTGATCGATTAAGGCACAGTTATCATTGGAGGGAGGGTGATAGACCACACAGATAATCAGGCAGGAAAAGCCACGGAAAAGTTTATTTGGTCTCAGGTATAGCCAAAGTGATTCAAAACTGTCTTCATGCAAATCTGTTAAGATTTTAAAAGGAATCTGGTCTTTAATATAAGCACAAACGCCACCCCCGATTCTATGATCGTATGTGTTCCGTGATAAACTGAAAACTGAACTTGATCGAATGGAAAATCTCGGAGTAATTGAAAAGGTTGTTGAACCGACAGAATGGGTGAATTCATTGGTCGTGGTTGAGAAGAACAATGGGAAAGTGCGAGGGTGCCTCGATCCAAGAGATTTAAACAAAGCTTCTCTGAGAGAACACCATCCCATGAAGAAAATCGAGGAAGTTGCTGCAGAGTTGAATGGAGCGAAGATATTTAGCACAATTGACGCATCGTCAGTATTCTGGCAAGTTAAATTAGATGTATAAAGTTCAAAACTTGTAACTTTCAACTCACCATTCGGAAGATAAAAGTTTTTAAGACTTCCGTTTGGTATTAATTCGGCTCCAGAGGTCTTCCAACGGCGAATGACGCAAGCATTAGACGAAATCGAGGGCGTGCCTGTTATTGTGGACGACATTCTGGTGTGGGGTACAACAGCTAAAGAACACAACAGAAGGTTACAAAACGCACTCCAACGAGCACGTGAACTAAACGTCAAGCTCAACAAACAGAAATCAAAGATTCAGACTAGTGAACTATCGTATATTGGATCGCGCACTGGGACTGAAGACGATATAGTGCGTGATAGTAGATACTTAGAACGGTACTGAATTGATACTGATTGTAGGTTATAGGTCTGACGACTAAAACTTTTATTACAAACGTAACAGGTACGAAACATGTCATCTACTTTGAGGGGGGTATTAAATATTTTCCAACGCTTTTTTTTGGGGGGGTGGGTGCCTAATTTTTTTGTAGAGGTTTGGAATACCCTGCACCCTCCCCCATCCCCCAAGTACACATACTTTATGACCGGTCCCTTATCGATAAAAACAATCATTTCATTTGAAACTCAAAGTTTATCGATATAAAGCAGTATAGTTTTAAGTCATTTTAAAACATTTTGCGAACCGTTTGTGGCTGAATTTTTCATTAAACAGACCTTATATTTATAATGATGTCACAAAGCTTGATGACCGCGAGGAATGCTGGTATTATAAACATTTCAAAATGAACACTAACGAAATTTTCTCGGGCGATAATTTCTAAGACCAGCATTCCTCGCGGGCATCAAGTCTTGCGACATCTTTATTCATAAAGTCTATTGAAGTTGATATTACGTACAATAGTATATCTAGCATATATATTTTTTGGGGAATTAATATTTTTTTTGCAGGGTTTTTCAATTTTAAAAATGTTCTTAATAAAATTATAATTGTGTTACCGTGACAACTATTTTAAGTACTTCATTTTCGGAAAATATAGTGATTTTGCCAGCAAGGTGAGGAGTTTCCGCATCCATGCATTTCTAGTTATTTTATAATATAGTCTTATAGCCTTTAACTGCAGAAATAATATATTCTTCTCTGCTGCAAAATTGTGATAGTTGTTAAACAACATATAATCATGGTCATGTCGGATCGCAACTTTGCCTGAAATTTTGAAAAGGTTTGTTCATTTCTTGTTTATGACTTAAAATGAAATAAATGTTCTAGAGCACTATTGTCAACAGAGAACTTGAGATATTTTTATAGATGTTTTGTTACTTTTGTAGAGTATAGTAAGTGCTTGTTGACTGCAAATTCATTTATTTTCTGAAATTTTATATTCTAAAGAACATGTTTTTTCCTGCTCCTTTGGTGTACTGTATGTACTGTATATTTAAAAACTCATATTAAAATCTATTTCTACTATATCGAATGTACGTGCTAATCTATCAGAACTTTTGGTAGTTTTTTTTCTTGTATATTAGTTATATTTTTCGTTTCTTAAACGGGTGTTCCTGTTTTTGCTCGTTCGCAAAATTCTTGTTCTTGCAACTCGCCGTATGAGCAACAATAGATAGATAGATAGATAGATAGATAGATAGATAGATAGATAGATAGATAGATAGATAGATAGATAGATAGATAGATAGATTGATTGATTGACTGATTTAATAAGAAAACACATTGCAGCCGAGTACGACTGGATTGCGTGTTACTTTACGACAATGGTAATTATGAGAATAAAGTTGATCTAAAAAAGGTATATAAAAGAACGTTACAAGTATGTTAAAGTGTGTAACTCAGTATATAAATTATGTATTTACAAAGTTAAAACTACGAAGATTAGGCTTAAGAGAATTCTTTAATACAAGAAGGAATAATTGTTTTTAAAAATCTATCAGTTTTAATCACTGGTGTTTGGAAGACACGTATACTACGCAAGTCATTGGTGATAGGAGGACGTGCAGGAAACAAATTCGACAACTTGTGTGAAGGGCCTTAGTTATCTGATTGTATAGTTTGGAGCAGGCATGCCTTCGACGATCGCTTAAGAGTGTCAAGTTAGCTTTGTCCAAACGCTCGCTGTAAGACAAACCGGGAAAGATCATGGATGTAACTCTTCTCTGGACTCGTTCTATGTTATCATTGAGATACTTAGGCAGAGCAAAGTGAAATACCTCACAAGCGTATTCCAGAACCGGTCTGACACAGCAACGATAAAAGTTTAGAATTTCTTTGGCTGGTATTTTAGCTCGTTTTAATTGGACTATGAAGAAGATTCTCTTGTTGGCTTTCTTTATTATGTTTAGGACATGCGTAGACCATCTTTAATTATCACTAACCGTAACACCTAGAATTTTAGCTTGGCGAACCAGGTTTAGACACCCCGCAAGAAGATGGATATTATCAAAGGATATTCTAATTCTGTGGAATTGAAACAAAGCTCTTTGCATTTTTGGACATTAAATTGGAATTTGTTCTGCAAGTTCCACATTTCAAGTTCGTTAGCTCCTGCAGATTGGATTGGGCTGGTTCCGTTTCTTGGGATAGTTTCCGAGACTGTTGTATCATCGATGTATTTCTAGTGGGTGATGTCCATAAGCTTCAAATCGTTTATCATGAGAATAAACAACCAAGGTCCCAACTTTGTGCCCTGTGGGACGCCACTAGGGACATTACCTCACTCAGAAACACAGTCCCTTGCAAGTTTCACGCGCTGTTTCCGACCACACAAAAAGCTAATAAGCCAATTTATGATATAAATTGGGATGGGCAGTTGGCGAATTTTGTTGATCAAGATTGAGTGATCAATAAGATCAAAAGCCTTCCTGTAATCGACCAGAAGGACTCCCACGGAATTTCCAGTATCATCGGTTGCTTTAGCCCAGTTCTGCAACATACTAACAAGGGCAATAGTTGAAGATGACCTTGGTATTCCTCCGAACTGGTGAGAGTCGACGCGTTTCAGGATGGCAGGGGCGACAAACTTTTCAATGACAAATCCTTCAGCCAGTTTTGAGAGACAATAAGTAAGAGATATGGGTCATAAGTGTTTATTAATGTCGCATACAACCTTTTCCTTTGGAATGGGGATAATGTTCGCCAACTTCCATAAGCTTGGTAATAATTGATGGCGGAGTGAACAGTTGATCAAGGTAGAGATTGGGCATGCCAAAATCTCGGCATATTCCTTGTAGACAAAATTTGGAACTTCATCAGGACCTGGTGCTTTAGAGGTACTTAGTAATTTAAGTTTATTATATGTTTCTCACGGTGTAGTAATGTCAACAGGTTGATCAGATATACTATTGGTTTGGTCGTCATTAGGGTTGAAAGGATCAAATTCCTGCATGGGTTCTAGAAAGGCGTTGTTAATAGCATTAGCCAAATCGGCCAAGGGCAGGTGTTCGAAGTTTTCTGATTGTATACAATCCTGTAGGCTTGAATGCGAAACCATTCCACTAATGCGTTTTACTTCGCGCCACCAGTGTTTCGGGTTAGATTGTTTTAAATTATCTACTTTTGTCTTATAATAATTAGCCTTGCAAGTTTTCCTTTTCCTATTAACTCTATTTCGATAGAATTTGAAGAGGGTGTCATTCCCGAAGAAAAAGGCACGCTGTCGAAGTTGTATGAGACGACGCAGATCCTCGTTGATCCACGGGTGGTCGTTCGAATGAACTAAAAGGTGTTTTTTAGGCAATATATAGAATAATCCAAAGGATAGCATATGGGTGAACAGTTGGTTTTTCACCTCAACGGATTTAAGTGAGTCAAGGAAAGACCAGTCAATTTCGCTTAAACACCGCCCAAACATAGCTTTGCGTGAAGGTCTCATATTGCGTTTATAGACGACTTTCTTCTGGTTAGACTTAGGGTCACGGAGTCTAGGAGAGACAGCAATTACAGAATCGAATGATCAGAAAGGCCGAAGGGCGGAAATGCGATGATGGAGTCCGATAGATAGAAAGGATCTAGCAGGCCCGTAGCTGAGGGGTGGCCTGCGGGGGCATTGCCCCCCCCCCACTAGGTGGGGCAGTGCCCCCCCCCCTCCCCCCCACTCGGAAATAAAATTGAAATTATGCCCCCCCCCCCTTACGTTTTGCAGAACTATTAGCTGTTAATGTTGTTGTTTTTTTGGGCTAAGCACCGAAATTTGGTATGAAAAATTGAGATAAAGGACCTGGAAACCAATTGCAATCATGGGACATGATTGCAATTTGGTTTGTCCGGAAAAAATTTTTGACCCCTAAAATGGTACACTGACCGAAATTTTTTTGGCGACGGGGAGAGCCAGCTACGGGCTTGGGATCTAGGTTTGTGAGCACTAGGTCAAGTGTATTGCCCCCTCTTGTTGGTATCTTCACAAGTTGTTTTAAACCAAAAGTTATGCGTAACTGTTTTATATCTAAGCGATTAAAGTCACCAAGCAAAATTAAACCACAATACATTCTCATGGGAATATTACAGCAGTAAACAAGCAATTTTTTCCAATTTTCAGATTGTTTAAAAGTCACGTGGCGTACAGATTTATTCCAAAAGGGTGTAAATATGTTGTTATGTATCGTGATCCTTGTGTTGCGGCCTACAGCTTTTTCAGGTCAGTGGACAGTAAGATATGAAGGTGCATACCATAATCATGTATCAATTTTATATGTCTGTTAAATATTTTATAATCCCCGAGCCAACGGCGGGAGCGCCGTTCCGGGCGTAAGCTCGGGGCGAGGGTACTAATTCCGCCCGGCTATTTACACCCGGGGAAACAAAAGCATTAGCGAAGTCTAAAGTTCATCAATGATCGCGGGCGTGGGTTACTGGGCGTGGTTCGGTGGGTGGTCATCTCACTGATCTCAAAATATGGCTGTTTGCCAGGAGTGAAGAGGAAAAAAAATATAAAAAATACATGTCAGAGAGCTTGGAAAATCGTTTCACATAACAAATTGTAAAACTTTTTACAACTTTAAACGTAAACATTTATAGGAATTTATTTAGTATCAGAAATCCTAAAGTATAGGGAAAGTTTGTTTCAATTGTTTATGTATGACTAGCTTTGTATTAATATAGACTTTGACTTTGTTCTTGATGTTCAAGTATTTTCTATGGCTATGCATTGTTTGAGAAAATTTCTTAGGTAAATTTACTTTTGTAGAAATTCATGATAAAAAGGAAAGCAAATTATTTTCATTAGCACAAATTCAATTTATTTTATTTCAAGGTGCGAGTAATAATTTGAAGCTCAAGTTGAAAAGTTTATGAATATCGGCAAAAAGCAGTTAATTTCACTTCACATTTAAAAACTTTTACGTAGAGTTTCGTGTTAGAATAAAAAGATTGTCAACGTTAAACGTCATAATTGTATTTAAAACTTCTTTTAAGACGCTGGCCCCATCAGCTACAGGCTGGTTTTCATGGGGGTGTCTACTACACTATATTATACTAAATTAACAAGACTACTGACTATATTACATTATATATTTACAAGAAGAAACTATTACTATTTACCAATTACACTATATACAAAAGGAAAAAAAAAAGAATAACAAACTAGATCAATATAACAGCACACACTATTGATAACTGCCTAAAGACGTATTTAAATAGATAAGTACTAGTTTTCGATTTCGATTAACCTCTTGAAAGTATAAATCGTAGGAGCACTCTTGGCATCATAAGACAGACTATTCCATAAGTTAGCTCCTCTATATTTAAAACTCCTTTTTAGAAATTCTTTTTTAGGTTTTGGAATTGAGATGTCAGTATCATATCCTCTCAAATTATAAACATTATGGTCACTCCGTGCAGAAAATGTTTCGCGAAGGCACGGGGCTGTGCCATTTCTAAGGATGTTGTATACCATAACCGCCTTGTTGAATTTAAATCTGGTATCGAGATTTTTCCAATTGAGCCATTCAAGGAGTTCAGAGGAATTGGTATCATAGTTTGCTCCCGTCAAAACCCTTGCTGCTGTATTTTGGAATCTTTGCAATTTTTGTTTTAATAACGCCCCACAATTATCCCAAAGGGGAGAGCAATAATCAAAATATGGTTGAATTAATGCTTTGTAGATGGTGTGCAAGATTTCATTTGGGACAAATGATCTAGTACGTTTCAATATTCCAATTCCTGCACTAACGTTTTTACAGATTGAGTTAATGTGAGTTTCCCAACTTAGGTGTTCGTCAAGTTCAACTCCCAAACACTTAAATGACCGAAAACGAACCAATGGTTTGTTATTAAAAATCACCAATTTATTGCCAATTTTGTTCCGAATATTATATGGCGAGCCTATAAACATTAATTTTGTTTTAGTAGCATGGTGTTGCAATTTGTTGTCCGACAACCATTTGCTAATATTTTTCAAATCAGAATTCAATAGATCTACCAATTCATCATAGTTATGAGATGAAGCATATATCTGTGTGTCATCGGCGTATAAACCCGCCGTAGTATATTTTAAATATTTTGACAAATCATTGATATATAATAGGAACATCAAAGGCCCAAGAATTGATCCTCGGGGCACTCCACTCTTTATTGTTTTACGGGAAGAGAAATGATCATTAACACAACAGACTTGCTCACGGTTTGTCAGATAAGAACCAAACCAATTTAACTCATTATCATAAATACCAAACTGATTTTTCATTTTAGACATTAAAATTTCATGATCAATAGAGTCAAATGCTTTTTTAATGTCCATTGAAATAAGGGCAGTTATTTTGCCATCATCCATGCTTTCTAACCATTTGTCACACATTTGGATAAGTAAAGATAAAGTTGAGTGTTTGGGTCTAAATCCAGATTGAAATTTTGAAAGAAGTGAGTTTTCAGATAAATAGTCATAAAGTTGCTTAAAAATTTCCTTCTCGAAAATTTTACTAACAACAGGAAGAATAGAAATTGGACGATAGTTCTCACATTTACTTCTGTCATCAGATTTATACATTGGCTGTACACCTGCTAATTTCCAATCAGTAACAAATATGCCAGTACGTAATGAAAGATTAAAAATTTTTGTTAGAGATGGGGCAATTATATCAGCTGAGATTTTGAGAACCCTAGCTGGAATTTTGTCAATTCCAGTCGATTTCGATACTACCAATTGTTTTAAATTGTTAAGAACTTGCTCATCACTTATAACAGAAAAACGAAAAGTTGTATCAAGCCAATCATTAGAGTCTCTATTTTCCGATCTCTGAAAGATACGTTCATTTTTTTCTATCAAAGTTTTTTTTTCTATAAAAGTTAAGAACGAAGGCGATAAATAAAGTGATAAAATTTGGATTTAAAATAATGATTTGTGTGGCCTTATGTCAAAACCATTTAAATGTATTTCTATTTTCTAGTAATACTATTAGTCTTTTATTTGTCGAAAATCGACGGGAAGCTGAAATGTGAAACCCACGTTTCCGGGCATGTTCTTCGCTCGACTGCTCTTATAGCGAAGGCTCTTTAAGACCTTTATCAATTATTCGCGGTTCAAAACACAAAAGAAAAAGACTAAAACTTTAGTGTCCTGAATGTAATTCGACTTTCGCCGACTATAAAAGTTATCTGACATACGGCCCGACCATTACCGTAAGAGGCACAAGCAAACTTGCCATAAAGGAAACCGAGTGCGAGTAGCACATAAAGACGTACCATGCAGCTAATGCGTTTGAGACTGCAAAGCGCAGTCAAAGACAAAGAGAATATTTTGAGTCGTCAGAGGCGCAAGATCCTCAAGAAGACTCCACAGGCACACGAAAAGAAGACCAAGAGAAAGACGAGCAATGCCATAAGAACGGACTTGTTTTCTTTAGTTCTTTAGCGAAATTACTATTAACTCTGATCAGCCTACAGTTTTGAAAGACATACCGCATACAGCGATCGGTACCATCGATCGGTTGCATATGATCATCATATCCGTTTTGGCTCGCTTCCTGACGCATAAAATTTAAACTCTTGGAAAATCGGGTTGTACAAATGCCCAGTTAATTAACACTATCCGGATCCGGCACTAAGAGTTTTAAGACTGCTCAAAATACAAAAAATATAAATTGTCTATTCGGCGCCTTGGGATAAAAAAGTCAAATTCATCAAATTGCTATGAGAATATTGAAAAAAATATCAATGCAATCACATGCAGATACTTGTATATCCTGGTTCCAGAGGTTTATTCTTATTTTTTTCATTGCGAAGGGGAGAGGAAAAATAAACCTCTGGTTGAAAGCGGCAATTGATTCATTGAGCCGCGCCAACCAGTTTGAATTAGGGTCAGATCCTGACTCTGTCTCCTGATTGGATGATTGTATTAAAGTTTTCTGATTGGTTCAAATAGAACATTTATAATCAATCAGAGAGCTTTAATACGATCATCCAATCATGAGACAGAGTCAGGGTCTGACACTAATTCAAACTGATTGGCGCGGCTCAATGAATCAATTAGGCCGCTTTCAACCACAGGTTTATTTTTCCTCCCCTGCGCAATGAAAATAATAAAAATAAACCTCTGGAACCAGAGTAATACTTGGATAACTATATCAGACTATATGCACACGGTACCGTTTCCGTCGCTTTCCGAGCGTTTTTCGGTTTTTGGTTGCAATGCGTTAATTTCTGAAACTGAAAGTACCATTTTCACGAACGTTCTGTTCACACGAAAACGTATGAAAGCGACGTCAGCAAGAAAAAACGTTTCAAATAGTGAAAACGATGCCAAAGATTCATTCACTATGTCTGAAACGTTTAGTCGTTTTGGCACTTTGTTACTGTGTAAACAGGAAAGTAGAAGGCGAAAATAAAATTCCGTGTATGAATTTGGAAACGAAGACTATAAAAAACTAGTGCTTTGTCAGAAAATGTTGCGAGAAAAACGATCAATGTGAACAAGACACCTAAAGGCTAAATTTGAAAACGGCACTCCAAAAACGCTCAAAAACGTGACCCGTGTGCACATAGTTTCAGTCTCAATTTAGGACTTATGAAAACACAGTATATTAAATAAATTATGTTAAATTTAATTTTTTTCAGCTTTATATGTTTAATATAAATAAATTAAAATAATACTCCTATCTGAAAACAAACGCACAAAAATAAAATAGTGCTCATCATTGAGCTGTGGTTGCAGTTATTGCAATTGTGTGTTTCGATTTCGTGACCTTATTTTGTTTGTTCTTAGAATGTCATATTTTATATTTAGAGCAACCCAATTCCTTTTTAGCAACAACCCACGAACAGGCATCCATTTCAAAACAAGAGCCATATTGGTGTCCCTCAGTTACTAGCACACCAATATGATTCTCATTACCTATATCTAACCTTTGCAAACTTTTGAAAAACTCAGCAACTTCAACTAGCGTCACTCGGCAATTGGACCTTCGACACCCCCATCCATATCCCTTCGCAACGGCCCTGAACATTTTGTAATCTTATAAGATATTAGCAAAACAGTTACGTTCAGAGCATGCAAACATGTTTTATGAGTAAATTATATTTTCGCGAAACTACTTTGTTTTTACAAGGCTGTGCACGATTTTCACTGTTGTGTAACTGGATATTTGCTTCGATAGTTTGTGCCTTCAAGGAACACAAAATCTATCCCCAAACTACAAATTAGACAACAAGACAAAACGTTTTGACTATGAAAACGTAGTTTTAGCTTTGTTTATACTTTGTAGTTTGACTCCTGGCCAAAATTTTAAATGGCGCATTCAAAAGTGCACGCACGGTGAAAAAGTGGAGACATGATTCGTCATCCGCACGCATTCTATGTCTATTATTTCTATGATTGAAACGCAAGAATTGTAGCAGGAACAATTCGGCTTTGACCACGAATGGCGTATGTTCGTGGATGTGCTAACATGATCCCGTGGAATGTGCTAACATGATCCCGCTGATCATCTGTCTGTAATCACATGTTTAATTGAACAATTTGATATGTGATTTTCTCAAAAAAATAGCGAAAAAAAACCCAAAAATGTCGAAAACCCACGATTTGCAAGAAAGGGCAGAAGATCTCCCAGGCGCTCCTCAATTTTCGCCGCCTCAAGCCTGTAAACCCCCTGCGCTTGGTCGCGGCGATGTACTACTTCATGTAAACCTTTCATCTGATGACTTTCACTTTTTATTAACGCCTGGGGACGAGGCAGCACTAAACTGATAAACATGCCAATGTATGTTCAGTGTACATATGCGCCTAAATGTATTGTTATTTCACGACATCCTTGGTACGTGCGTCCAATCCCGGACTCATCACCTCTCTCTTATATATACCTATTCGAAGATATACCTATTTGAAGATAGAGAAACTTGCAATTGTGCACTAAACTGGAGGCATGAATAACTTATTTTAGGTGTCGAAATTGCTAGCCTTTGCGATTTGAAGTTTGCCGTCGATCGCCTGCCGTAAACGTCAATCTTAAAGTCCCGATTTACAGAAGTAACCTTAATTTGTCTTGAGGTTGAATATTGGGATGAAGATAATATCATGTCATCGACATCCTCGGGATAATTTATTGCAGACAATTACCTAACAACCGTTAGGTGTTATGATTGTTGAAATTGTGTGTCTTGTGCACTAGGCGCAGGCTCGGATAATCACATCGTGTATTTAATGCCCTCATTAAATAATTTATCATTACAATTATCATAACAATACAGTAGGCCTACTAGCATCCAGGCAATACACCCTTTTCATAAATGGCTGCCGATTAAAAATTCTTTTATGTGCATATAAATTGGCCCAACTAGCCTCGTTTCTGGGTAGAAATTCCTTTGAAATCTTAACATGAGTACGAGGCTAGTTGGGCCAATTTATATGCACATAAAAGAATTTTTAATCGGCAGCCATTTATGAAAAGGGTGTATGGCTTGGCAGGGAAGTAAAATGGAATTTTGTTCCGTGTAGCACAAACTGGAGACAAAAATTTCCTGCAGCAAACGGAGAATGGTTGTGCTAAATCCGCAAGTTCATATACATATAGTGTTCTAGTTGACCATGGTTTTAAATTCAAGGAATAATGTATGTCAACCATATGTTGTTGTGGCCATAGCGGGAAAGTTTTCTTCGTATTTCAATTAGAAAATCTTTATTCAAACGAATTCCTGCAACTGTTTAACTTTTCCTGCGAGCAATGCTCACATACTCGCCTATTTTCCCACCACTGTGGCTTGGAACGCAATTTATCGATCATTGTTCAACATAACTAATTTTAAGAATTTTTTATCACTGCACATTTTTGTGCAAATTTTAGCCGAGCAGAAGCACTCCCTGAAAATTTCTGAACACACTCTTATAATAACGTGTAACAACAAAGCAGGCTCCAATTGATATTCAAAAATGCCCAAACGAACATTAATTCACTGCACAGCACACAAGGAAATTTGGGGGCCCAGGAAAACTTTGACTTGTTGGCTCTCGTGATTCCATGTTCTCTGATTAGGGGGTCCGGGGCACTGAGCTATAATATTACTGGAAGAGCTGCTCCTATCTTTCCGCCAGTCATTCAAGTGAAGCCAAAAACATGGAGGATCTTACGCCATGACCATGACTGCTGGTTCTTATTTCTCATGGTAATTACCACTGACCAACCGCGATCCTACGCTTTACACAATATCTTTCACCCCTGGGATTTTTTCACAAATTATATAAAATATTTTGGATTAGTTTGTGAACTGAAAATCTTGATATTTTTCATCAATTTTGCCTGTTTTACAAAGTCGAGGAAGACGGTGCATTTTTGCAGTACCTGTTGTAGACTTGCTCCAATTCTCTCTTTCTTTGACATATCGATCCACTATAGTGTACATTACATGACGTAGTACGGAGGGGCGGAGCGAGAAGAGAGACTTAATTGTCAATTTCGGAAAATCTCGGTTAAAAACTGAACCGAAAATGCAAGACTTGCTTTAATTCTTTTCTGTCAGTGTTTATAAGTATTGATCTAGCACATGTAAATAACATGCGTTCCATTATAGTAAATGATAAAGAAAGAAATTGAAGGAAAAGAATTAAAGCAAGTCTTGCATTTTCTGTTCAGTTTTGAGCCGAGATTTTCCGAAGTTGACAAGTCTCTTTTTCTCGCTCCGCCCTTCCGTACTACGTCATGTAATGTACACTATATTGGACCGATACTATATGACAATGAAACTCAAAGAGAGACTTGGGGCTAGTCTATGCCTGTTGTGGCTCTAAAGGGAGAATATTACCGGTACGATTTCATCATTTCTACATTGACATTGTTTTTTTTTTTGTTTTTTTTTTTGTGTTTTTTTTTTATTAGTTTTACAATAAGAAATTGAAGGCACAGACAACAGGACTAATAAAGTCCCAAATTAAGTCCTGCCATACATGAAAATACTACGCTATACTATGCTATACTATACTATAAACGGTTATAAAATTAACAAAATACATAGCTAGGTACATATTTACGGCATTACATAATTACATTCGTACAAGAGCTCAGAACATGCACTTCTACGAACAACAGGACGTAAAACAAGAACGACATTTAGAGCAAAACGTTTTCCAAGTCCTAGGCCTATTAACGTCAAAACATGCATTAACTTTTTGAGTGTAGTGATTATAGAGTTTAAGTTTCAGTGACTGAATAGAGAGAGAGGATTTTATTTCTCCTGGCAGGCTGTTCCAAAGTGGCACTATCCTATTGAAAAATAGGTTTCGGAAAGAAGATGTTCTGCAACGGTTTGGTCGGTATGAATCAGTAGAGCTAAAGCGAGTGTGATGATTAGTAGAATTGACCAGAATATAGTCTTCAAGTGTTAAGTCATAATAACCAGCTTTGCATTTATAAAAAAACGTAATATCTTTGATTTCGAACCAGTATGAAATAGGCAGTAGGTTAAGTTTCTTTAAACGGTTGGTGTAAGATGAGTTGAAGTCTTGAAGGATATACTTGGTTGCTCGTCTTTGGACACTTTCAGGACAAAGAAGGTCCCTAGATGTTGTTTGGGGTGCCCAAATTTCACTGCCATAGCACAGGTGTGTACGAACAAGTGTCAAATAGAGAGAGCGTCGACAGTTTGTATCAGTTAAATATGTGCAGTTACGTCGTAGAAATCCAAGCATGCGGTTTGCTTTGGAAACAATGTTAGAAATATGAGGAGACCATTTTAGGTTATTCGTAATAAGTATACCAAGATCCTTTTGAGTTGATTGAAAAGGGATCTGACTGGAGCATAAAAAGTAATCGGGAGACTCAATACAACGTTTCCGTGAAAATCTTATTCCAGAACATTTCTTCAAGTTGAACTTTAACTTCGACGTAGAAGACCAAAGACACAGGGCTTGAAGATCTGATTGGAGGAGATTAGAGTCGTGTGGATTGTTTATGATTTTATAGCATTTACTGTCGTCAGCAAACATTGGTATTCTTCGGTGTTTTGCTGCGTCAGGAAGGTCATTAACGTAGATCAAGAAAAGCAATCGGCCAACAATACTGCCTTG